TATTGATCAGCTATTGCTGGGACTCGAACCCGGGTCACCTCATTGGGAGACAAGCCATAGTGGCTCAGTGTCGTAGTCAGTGGCTCAGTGCCGGTATAAGCCTGAAGTTGTATGCAAAATTAAAGAAGAAACAACCTTTTTCGGTTAACGCAAGACAGTGACCCAAATTAAGTGAAATGTTACATAAAATTTACAGTTAATACATTTAATTATAGCAAAAACGATGATAACTTAAATCAATGACACGGGCATGTTAACATGAATCAATGATCGTGAATCAATAGATTATAACAGCAAAATAGTTAAGTATAAATAAAGCACTACAGTTACCGTTTTGCTTCCTTATTACTTAACTTTTTTGCTGTGATAACCTATTGATTCACGATCACTTAGATGAATCAGTGATCATGAATCAATAAGTTATACAACTGAATTAATTTACGCTAATGATATACTTGGCAGCACTCCAACAGAAACAATATGGAGTTGCAGTTTCCACTGCAACATAAATGGGCATGCTACAATCTTGTACTTTGAATATATAGACAGTGTAAATCCTGCATTGCTGTCCGGGAGGATTATTTCAGCTATTGAAAATTGCAATTCTTCTAGCCATTCACTCTTCGTGGGAGCATTTCTGTCTTCTGTCTAATAGTTCTCGAAGTTATGATTTCAATTTTTTATCTTTTAAATTTTTGTTGTATTTGATTAATTTGTTGTATTTGATTAAATTTTTGTTGTTGTTTAAATTTTTGTTGTATTTTCGTACACTTCTCCCATTTTGTGTCTCGAGAGTATTATAGTCGATATGTATCACTTTGATTATGGTTTTTGATCTTGATTTGGATCACGACGCTGAAATATTATTATTATTATTATTGAGCAGCGATGGCTCAGGGGATGGAGCGTTCGCCTTTCAATGAGGCGATCCGGGTTCGTATCCCACTCGATACGAATTCCACATCTTTCTTGCACCGATTACAGTGATGACGAGAAATATCCTCAGTTGTAAACGTTTCATAGGTTAAAGCCCCCTTGCCGCCAGGCTAACCGTGGGAGGTTTTCGTGGTTTTCCTTAACAAGTAACGCAAATGCGGGTTAGTTCCATCAAAAAGTCCTCCACGAAAACAAATTTCTCCCAATGCATTATCTAGGAGCTCCCTTGTCTTCTGCATTGGATTCAAAATTACAAGTCTACATTGTTGAACATTAGTAGTCTTAAACCCAAAATTTGAGTCGGCTGTTCAACGTTGGTTATAAAATACTATTATTGTTATTGTAATTAATAGTAATAATAATAATAATCCTTACCGTAATTCATCCCTAATTACTAAAAACCTGTAATAGGCCTACAGGTTTGAATAGAAATCTGGACTGAGTTTAAGAAGATAAAAAAAATAATAATAGAGAGAATGAAAAAAAAAACATTTTTAACTTTAATAATTCCTCAAAATTGTTAAAAATTATAAATAAAAACCTTTAAAGGATTTGACGAGATCTCTGCTTACCATTCGGATAATATTATATGTATTTATATTTTTAAAAAATCTCTGTAGAAAAAAGTTTATAAGATTATTGATAAGATTATTTATTTTACAAAAGCATTCTCGTATTTTCTGCAGCGAAATCAATAATTAATTTTTAATCTTTTCATTTGGTTGATAATCAAGGCAAGTAAATGCATGGAGAGATTTAAAGCTTTAAAGAGTTTTTCTCTTTAATGATTAAAACTTCTCGCCTCACTGAGTAATTACTTTCTAATAATAGAAAATTTTTATTCTATAATTATCAATCAAAAGATTTATCTGATAAATGTTGATGCTATTTTTATATACTTATCAACGTTTTTTACATCAATAAGACAAAGTTAATAACGTTTAATTGGTGAAATTCTTATTTAAATTTAATCACAGGATGTAAGACGCAATTCTTCAATAAACAAATTTTTTAGCTTTATATTTAATAAATTAGTGATTAAGTTAATAAACAAATTAAAATAAGAACTAAAATTTATGTATTGATATAAAAGGCTTATTTTACTAGACAAATCTAATTTGAAAAAAAAATATGGTCAAAATTACCAGAATATGGTAAAATTTACCGTGTTTCAAGTTCAATGGGGACACCAAAAGGCTCGATAATTCTTACTGAAGGGATTTGTTTTTGATTTTGGTAAAATTTACATTAAAATATGGTTTTATAATGTGTGATAAAATTTGGTAATTTCGTCCTGCATGGCATGAAAATCATTTATTCGGTTAAATTAACTTTTGAGTTTTGCATTTCTTAACTATATGTATGGTAATAAAGAACTATAACTTTGAAAATCAGAATTTTATTGTAAACCATTACCATATAAATGGAAAAATTAGCAAATGAATGGTTTAAATACTGTATGTTTTGATTTTATTAACCAGAATTATTCCCCCCCCCCATATATGCTTTTTTCATAAAGTACGGTAATTTTATCAGTGAAGGGAATGTGATGTTACGAATGTCACATTCGTGGGAAAGGCCGAAGATTTCCCTGTGTAGTAAATGATGTCTGGCGCGCTCTAAATTTGTCAGGTCGCGAAGTCCTCCATGTTTCCATTACAAATTATACTTCTGGATACTGAATTGGAGAGTGATAGTTCTCTGGTTCAGGTCAAAATTAAGATCTGTGCATAAATGGATGGATGTATAAATGGATCTACCCTATAAACCGGTACGACATATGGATGTGGCAGAAGTCGAACTCTCGGACATAGATAGCGCCACTGGAAAACAATAACAATCGCACCCATTGATTTAATGGTCAACGACAACAGCGACAGTTGAAAAAATTAATAAATAGTTATACTTTGCTTGAGGTAGTTTTAAAAAATAGATACGATTATGTTTTGCTTATTTTGTAATTATGATAATTTAGAAATATGGCGGAACATAAAACACTAAAGCCTTGACCGTTCCTTTTATAAAACAATTAGAAGCATATTTTCTAGATTTTGGTAACATTACAAAATTATGCCAAACTTAGTAAAAAACCTGACAAAAAAAAAGATATGTTTATTTGTGAAAAATATCTGCTTCTGATTACTTGAATTATTATCAGCTCTACTTATCAGAAAACTCGGGTCATCATTGACCATAACTTCAATACTTTTAACCATAATACGAAGTAAATTTTCTGGAAACTTAATAAGAAGTGCAATTAAACGGTGCTTATACATGCGTGTCATCAAGTGTAAATCGTTGTAGTAGGAAATGAAGGCAGGAAAAATGATTGCTCTTGTTTACCAGTGGAACCCATTTATGGCCCAGAATTCGACTTGTGCCAGACCCATACGTCGCACCCGTTTATAGGGCGGACCTCCATAGTTCGTAATTTTGTCCTGAGTAGAGAACGATCAATTGCCAATTCAGTACCCCCGGAGGTATAATTTGTTATTACATGGAGGACTTTGTGGCCCGACAGATTTAACGTACAGCAGTCACCATATGTTACACGGCGAGACTTCGACCGGCTGGACTCGAACTCTCGTTTTCAGGAACGTGAGCAAAGCACTCCGCCAACTAGGCTATCCCGGCCAATCAAGTTTAGGTAGTACTATAATATGATTCAAAATAGCACAATTCCAAGATTGTTGACTAAATTTGTTGACTGCCCAGGCACATCCCGATTTCAATATTTCTTCAAATTTCAAAATATTGCACATTTTTAATAGCATCATAGCTGTTATGCTTTAATAATTCATTTTTATAAAAAAATTAGTAAGCTGATAAAAAATATGTATCAAAGGAAGCATTGAATAATCGTTAAAATGTGTATCAGGGTCTTCAAAGCAGACATATGGCACATTTCAAACTCCTCTACTACTTCTAAGAAAAATTCAATTAGAAATTATTGAGCTTTGAGTAAATAAAAAAAAAGTTTCGGAAAATATTTTAAAATCTTAAAACATATCATACAATAGAAATATTTCTTGTAATTAAACAATATGTTTAAAAGGAATGTGTGGGGAATTTTAATCTTTCACTCGCAAGATTTTTTAAACACTATACTTGATGTAATTAGAATAAAAATTTTAAAAAGAATTATACTCTTTTAACCCCATTTCTAGATAAGTATGTAAATAAAACTTGTTTCAAATATTTCTTATAAAATCTTTAATTAATTTTTCTTTAAAAAAATTTAATTCTTTCAGTTTTATTAATTTTAAATTCTGCCAATTTTCAACATAAATCTAAAATTAATGTATAAAGTATAAGTTGTTACATTTACGCATAATTTGAGACTTACATTATTAAAATTTCATATATATAATTGACTTGTCAATAAACACAATACATTCTGTATCTTTTTGATATTTAAAACTTCTCCACGCGCATATTTCTAAATTGTGAGAAATATATTTACCATATGGTAATTTCTAAAGTGTGAAAATATTTGCTTGTAAAATATTTTTATAAGGTGAAAACTCAGAACTCTATTTGCTTTTGCTAAAAAGTTGTAGCAATTATAAATGTTTCATGTTTTTGCGTGTTTTCCGTCAATTCGGAAACTAGGAAATATTCGGAAACTAGGGATCCATATCTTATAAATAATAGCTATCTTCAGCTGTTATAATTTAAGAAACTTAAAATTACTATAACATAAATAATATAAAGAGAAATCATGTAAGGAAACAATAAAAAAAATAATTTTGTAAAATTATTTGCTTGTAATATCTTTTTTTATCAGGCATGTAAGGTCAAAACTCAGAACTTTATTTGCTTTTGCTTAAAAATTTTTTAAAACGTTTTATGTTTCGAGTTCCTTCGTCAGCTTTTAAGGTGCTGAAACTTCTAAATTAATTTCTTCCACTATCCTTATGAAAAGATAAACATATGTTTACATATTAGATTTGCAAGCTTCATGTAATTTAAAGTGCATTAACGTAAAAATATTCGGAAACAAGGAATCCATATCTCATTAAATAATGCCTATCTTTAGCTGTTATGATTTAGGAAACTTAATATTACAACAACATCAATAATCTAACGAGAAATCACGTAAGGAAACTGCAAATTGTATAATCATCAAAATAGATTTCCTCCGTACTTTAAAATTCTTTTTCACCTACTATCCTTTGCAAATGAAAAGGTGGCAATTGAGAACGATTAAGCTCTATTTCCAATTAATGTTATCAGTTGAGCGTTGAAGTGTGCGAAGGAAATAAAAATTTCACACTTTTGACACCCCACAAGACCCTGATTCCGGGATTGAGGGAAAAAAGGCGAGAATGTATGAAAGTAAGAAAAAAATTTAGCGATTAACTGATAATCGAAGGTGTGGAAACGCATGGGTGATTTGAAAGAGGGAAAAAAGTAGTCAAGAAACTGTTGGGTTAAGTAGTGATCTATATAGACTGTGAGCTCTATCTTTAGTTCTTTCATTTTCATCAGGATTTTCAAACAAGTGAGTATCTAAAAATGCTTCACATCTATTGATTTTATTGGATAATTTAGTTTGGACATTGGATACTTCTATCGGGTGCTGAGAGATTTCATGGACACTTATTAATGGGTGATATTTGGTTCGATTTGCTAAAAAAATAATTTTTGTATTAGTTATTTAAGTTGAGGTATTCACCATATGGTAAGAAATTATTTGGCTATGACTCTAATACTATTTTGGCGTTTTGTGTTATTAAATGTTATTGAGTTCTAATCAGCTGAAAAAATTATTTCATTCAACTGAAACATTTCTTTGAAAATATTTCTTGTATGATTATTTTTTAAGCAACCAGAAAAATCATACAAGATATATTTTAATTATCATAGTTGAAATAATTTAATATACATTTTATTTGTAGTTATAATGATACATTTTTTATGTAATTATGTTATGTATTGATTATTATATTTATATTATTTCATATGATTTTAATGTAACTAAGAAAATTAAAATATCTGAAACAAAAGTAGATTTTTAATAAAATAGTATTTAAAGATAAATTCGCATAGAGAATTAAAAATATCTAAAATACGATAAAGGTTTAAAGCAAAAATATTTAATGCATTTTGTTTAGTATATAGCTCATTGCCTGTTACTAACCATCAAAAATTATGGTTTTCATAATACTTACAATACTTTACTTTATAAGTTGCTTATGAACATACAAAATAAAGTAAAAGAATTAATAAAAATATTGTGAATTTTAAAGTCTCCAAACAATCAAGAAGTTCTTTTATTTATTTATTTTCATTTTTTCGATTTATAACACAAGCAACAAATATATTTCAATACATTTATATGTTTGAAAGAATTTATTTTTTTAAGTAATTTTAATTATTTGCTTATAATGACGCATCTATGTTAGTATAAACACTTGTTTAGTATTTACATACTGTTAAATATTTCTTTGACTATACGTTGCAGCATTATAAATATTTTAATTATTTGCTGAAAATTTCATCAATGCTTACAAATTATTAATATTTTAGCATATGTAATATAGCTTAATTCTTTTGGTAGGGAAAATTTATTGATGTATATAAACGCGTATACTATGCGAATGCATAATTTTAATGCGATGTACAGTGGGCCAAAAAAATAAGTAAATAAATGACCTCCCTAAAAAACTCTTGAACTAATGATCAGATCTTCACGTTCTAGGACTCAATCTTAATGATTCGAGGAAGTGACCTCAAGTGTATTAATTAATTAGTGCAGACGATGTTTTAAGTTACGAAATCAGACATAAAAATGTACTTTCTCTTAATAAACATATTTTTTTTCGATGGATTCGGATTTCTGACCCCCTAACATAGAGGGGGAAGCCGCAATCTGGGAAATATGGCCCCTGTCAAGAGAGTAATCGAAAGTTTGGACCGATTAATGTTATTTTTACTTTTTGAGTATTTCGCGATATTTCAAGAACTTACACGAATTTTAAAAGAAATTTGCACAAAATTAAAAACTTTGTTTATTTAAAAATAATTCCATGATAAAAATAAATAGTAGTAAATATTTATTATTTTTTATTATTTTATTTAAATATCGTCAAAACCATTTCGATTGTAAGGTATGCACTTTTTTGTATAATTTTAAAGGATCTAATTTTAAATTGCAAACTACTAAGTTTGAGTAAATTCAGTTGAATAGTTCCTGAGAAATCGAGTTTCAAATATGACTTTCTTAAAATTCAATTTCTCAGAAACTATTCAAACAATTTCGCTCAAATTTTGTATTTTGTCATGTAAAATCAGATACTTTAAAATGATGTAAAAAATTATATACTTTACAATGAAAAATTTATTCTAAGACTATTAAATAAAATAATAAAAAACAATAAATACTTACCAAAATTTATTTTTTGCGCAGAATTATCTTTGGATAAATGAATTTTATAATTGAGGGCAAATTTTTTTTTAAATTCCTGAGATATGGCGAAATGCGTAAAAAGTCAAACTAACATTTAGCGGTCGAACTTAAGGGATCCCTCTCCTGACTTAACTATTAAGGCCATATTTCACAGATTGCGGCTATCCCCTTTATTTAGGGGGTCAGAAATCCGAATTCGTCAAAAAAATTCGTTAATTTTGAAAAACTATTTTTGTTTTGTTTCTGATTTCGTAACTTAAAATATCGTCTGCTCTAAATAATTAGCATATTTGAAGTCACTCCCTAGAACCATTAAGATTGAGTTTTAGAATGTGAAGATCCGATCATTACATCAAAAGTTATTTAGAGTGGTCCGATTTTTTTTGAGTGCCCTGTACAGCTGTCGAAAAATAAATGAAATCGATATGCCCTAAAAACGTTTTAATGAAATGATCCGAATTTGACGCCTAAGATACAATCTCAATGATTTGAAATTTGCAACTAAAATATGCAAAATTAATCAGCAAAGACGAAAATTTCGGTTATGAAATCAGATTTAAAAATGTATATTTTTTTTTAAATCTAACATACATGTTTTCCCGGAAAATCACCTTTCTGATCCTCAAGATGTCTATGGTAATATATTGTGAAATTGTGTTATAAGTTTTCGTTTTTCTTAAGTATTTTACAATTTCGTTAGTACTTAAGTTCACGAGATCGAAACCTCGTCTGGAATAATTTGAACTGTTCATAAAAAAATGAAAATTAAAACAAAAATGCAATATTGAAAATTTTATTTCTTAAAAGCTATTCAACCAGATGCACACAAAAAAAATTAAATTTGTAACATAAAACTTCAACGTTTAAAAAAATATAAATATTTTTATATATCTTACAATACCAAAGATTACCGATACATAAAAAATAATAAATATTTATTAAAAAGAAACTTTTTTGTTTGATCGTGAGACTATCTCTGAATTACAAGTTCGATCTATGTATTCAAAAATCTCTTCATTCATAGAAGAAATCGAGAAATAGAACAACATAAACTAAAGTCTATGTTTTAAATAATGTATAAAATAATTTTAATAATGTTACGTTAATATAATATGAAATTTAAAGAAGCTTGAGCCCTTGTTATGAATTTTTGACGAGGATTCTAAAAGTTTATATTAAGGATGTTTTTTACAGAACACCCTGTGTATTAAGGGCCTTTAAGAAAAAATAGCCAGTATAGTAAAAATTAAATGAAATATTTTAAGAAATAGAAAAATATGATTAAAATCAATGAATCTTAAGCCCACTCTACTCTTAATTTTTGTTACATTATTTATGAGCCAGTACAGTGATTAAGCAATTTTCAACTTAACAAAAAATTAAAATACAAATGATTTCTTTAATAAATTCGGCCTTTTATGTTTTGAAATTTTTGTTAATATCTCTATCAATCTTTTTATACATAACAATTATGAAAACAGAACATTATTCACTGAAAGGTGTTATTTCATACATTTTTAGTGAAATATCGAAAAGCAAGCTCTGCCTGAAACTTAAAGTAAAGCTTTTAATTTTGTAGATAAACGCTTGTTAAAAGTAATTCATTGGATTTAAAACAGACAAATACTTAATCCATGAACATTTCTTATTTAGAAACAAATTTCTTTAAATAAAAATAATCAATTAAGGGACGTTTTTATACTTAACATGAAAATCCTTAAATTAATGAATAATTCCTAATTTTTATCTATTTTTGGAAGTCCAAAATAATTTAGTATTCTTAAAATGAACTAATAATGTAAGCATTAAATTTTTTTACCTAAATGAAAAATGATGAAATCACTAATAATTTTTAATTGTTATTAATTTTTTAAGGCTCAAGCGATTCTAATGTAATTTAAAAAGCATTAAAGTTGGAACACAAAAGCTTCTTTTATTTTAAAGTTTTATATCATTTATGCTTACAACATAAGAATTAACAGTTATGAATAGCTGTTATAAACTCGCAACAATTATAAAAAATTAAAAAATTGCATATTAAACACCAAAAGGCTTTATTTCGTGATATAAAAGAGCAATCGAAAAGTGGTTTCTACATTTTCGATCCCTTTAGTTGCGACATTTAATAAGTTTTCTGTTCTTTATCCCGTTAACCCTTTCGAAATTTAGGGGACATATATCCCACGTAGACTGTAGTAGACTGTTGGGTAGTTTACTATAAGTAGACCCAAGTAAACTGTTGGACTAAATAGATTCCATTAGATTTACACATTACAATCTTTTGAACTTCCTTTCTTCTGTACCAATCGATGGCAGCCCTTGCAAAACTGTCATGGTGGCATAGCTTTGAAGAAATCACATGTTTGTGAATATTTACGTACCGTTTTGTGAGTAATAAAACTCAAATAGAGCTAAAAAAACTGAATGTCATAATATTAGGACATAATATATACTTTTACATCATTTTTTAGCATCTTTTTTAAAGTTTATTACATGAAAGCAATAAAAATAACCTCATTACTGCGATTATGGATATATATCTCCCAGCTGTCTTTTTTCATGAGTAATTGGACATCATTGTCCAATGAACTAACTGCTAAAAGTGAGTTCAGATTTTATTTTAAAAAACTTATTTGTGCTATCATCAAACGTTAAAGGAACAATATGCTGCAAAAAATAGTTTTTCTATAAAAAAATTTGAAATCTGCCTTGAAAGGCTTAAAGTTTCTTTCTTCATTCGAGATGTTCAGCATAATTTCCTTATCAGATAAGTATAAGCTTTACGGCAAGATGGTTATAATCTATGAAGTTATAGTCTTATAATATTCATATAATTTATGGTCTTATAAATATAGTTTATAAATTTAAAATTATAGTTTTGCATCAAGTTCAAGGCATATAAACTATGGCTTTTTTATTTTCTTTGGTAAGAGAGCTTCGTAAAACATTCCTGATATTATTTATTATTGTTTATTATTACTCTATTACTGAGAAAAAAATAACGTCAAAACTATTTAGATATGGTAAAATTTACTGTGTTTCCGGCCCTATGAGAGCACCAATAATCGGGGTAATTTTGTCCGAAGTGCATGATTTCATGCGAAGTGTAATGATTTTGGTAAAATTATTTATAAAGTATGGCTTTATAATATTTTATAAAATTTGCTTATGGTACAATTTGGTAATTTTATCATGATACCTTAGAATGGCATAAAAACTATTAATTCGGCTAAATTTACGTTTCAGTTTTATATTTTTTACTAAATGCGTAGTAATAAGAACTACAATTTTGAAAACCAAAATTTCTGGTAAACTGTTGCCATATGCAATAACCATTTGAATGGTTTAGATTTATTAACCATAATAATAATTATTTTTTATTAGAAAGGTTTTATTTATTCAGTACGGTGACTTTACCGGAATTTTTGTTCTCAGTGAGTTATCAAAATCTTTATTATCTTCATGCGTTTGAATCACAATCTCAGCGCTCTGAACCTACTTCTTGTACAAATTCTGCTTAAAATGTATATAGGTTGATTCCTGCTGGACATGTGTTAATACAAAGGTTTCCATGCGTCGATACGTAGGTTTCCAACGCAACTTAGTACTGTATGATGAGGAACCTTCGTAAGTTAAAATGTATTAATTTGCATACGGTTTAATTTAACTTGCAAATTTGCTTATTTGGAGTATTCTATTGCCTAAATAATTAAACCATGTAAAGTATTCCATGGTGTTAATCTTTAGGGACAAATTAATATCCTTAATTTCTTGTTCGAATTTCGAGATTTATACACAGTTTTGCTCAGTTTTGACTAGAAAAAATATCTTAAACAAGTCATCAAAAACAAGTCATCAAAAATGAGTTCTGTTTTTAAACTTGACTCGAGAGTTAGTTACATTTAAAATTATGCTTGTGTTGCTAGACTATGATTAATATTTAGAATATTTCAGGAAGGGTTCTAGAATGTGAATAGTATTACTTCATAGCAGCGAGTTCGCCTGAAGAATTCGATAAGAATTAACCATAAGTTTTCTTGTTAAGACCTCAAAGTTGACAGAAAAATTTCAGAGGATAATTAGACCAAAAATTAGATAATCTGTGTCGTGGGACAAACTTCAGAGGTTGCATTCCTTTTTGTTGCTCTTCATTCTAAATATATAACTTAGAGACTTATTAATTTCCCTTCAAAAGTACTCGTCAGTAATCAAGATGAGTTCAAAATCACAATAAATGAGATAAACGTTAATGCGCTTAAAGGAACAAAAGAACGAAATGTTTAAAAATGAAAGAAATTTTGCTTTTCAATAAAATTTAAGCTTTACAATTGAGAAACTAAGATTACTGCGAAGCAAATTTGGGGGTTAGGGAGCAGCGCGAGCATGGACGAGAAATTTCCAGTTACACTAAAAAAAATTAAAAAAAATCATGCAAATTGGACCCCTTCTATATCAACAGGATCAGTTGCCGTAAAAATTGGTTGTCATATAACAAACACGAAAGGAGAAACAAAAGTTCCTTTTACAATTTAAATATTACTACAATTTTCTTCAATATATTACTTCAACCCAAATTATTGTTCTTAGTTTTCATTTTTAAAGCTTTGCATGTTTTATACTAATTTATTTTCCTAAAATTCAAAAGTTCTAAGCTGGACATCACCAGATTGTCCTTAATAACTTTTGATCTAATGATTGGATCCTCACGTTCTGTCACTCATTCTTATTGATTTAAAAGGGCAATCTCAAATATACTAATTAATTAGTGCAGATGATATTTTAAGTTAAGAAATCAAACACAAAAGCGTACTTTCTTTGAATAAACACAACTTTTTTTTGCGACCGTCTCGGATTTCTGAAACCGAAAATATAGGAGGTAGCCGATAATTTTGCTCTCTTGCGTATTTCACCACATCTCAAGAAAGGATTAAGCGAATTAAAAAATTCATTTACACAATTATAAGATTCATTTATTCAAAGATAATTCCATGCAAAAAATAACTTTTAGTAGTTTAACTTTTATCATTTTTTAATATTTTAATTAATAATAATCAAAAGAATTTTGAATTTTTTGGTATACAATTTTTGAATCATTTTAAATAATACGAGTTTGCATTGCAAAATGCTAAATGTGGATTAAATTGGTTGAATAGTTCCTGAGAAATCGAAATTTTAAAAAGAAATCGTACTTTAAAAATTCGATTTCTTAATAACTGTTTGACCAATTTCACCTACATTTAGCATTTTTCCATGTAAAATCATCTCATTTAAAATGGTGTAAAAAATAGTATACTTTGCAATTCAAAATTCTTTTGATAATAATTACTTAAAATAATAAAAAATGGCATTTACTAAAAGTAATTGTTTGAATGGAATTATTTTTCAAGGAAAAGATTTTATAATTGCGTGAATGAATTTCAGAATGTGAATTGTATAAACGATTTTGGCGGAATAAAAATCATTCCAAACTAAATTAATAACTGTTAACAGTTATATTCCTTAACTGTATACTATAGCTATAAAAATTTAACATCAAAAAGTAGTTTTTGTTATTTATAAATTCTTTTAATGCTTAATTCTTTAATAACCGTTATTGCTTCAAATAAACATTAAAACGTATAAAGATTAAGAGCTTAGGTTGATTAATGATTCTTTTATTTCCTTGATCATACCATTTAAGTTCATTTATATATGATTCATCTGAAAAAATTTTCCTCATTCAAAACGATTCGATCTAAATCTATTTCTGTAATTAAGTTTTCCTAACTCATAAAAAATAATGTTTAGATTATTCTACCAACTCTTTATTCATTTAAGCAAAAATTAATATTTCGTATAAGGATATTCTTTGCTCAAATTGACTCGTTGATAATAAAATCTTTTTAAAAATTAACTAATTTTGTGTTATTATTTTACTTCGCCATTAAAATACATTTAAGAAGAATACATTTAAGAAAACAACTTATCAAAATCTTATTTCTGTATTTAAGTTTTTTAGAAACATAAAATATTTCGTTCCATTATTACTCTTTATTTTGTTCCATTCTTACTCTTATTAAAGTCAGATAAATTTTAATTTAGATATGAGAAATATTTATATTAGATTATTTAGATATAAGAAACATTTAAATATTATTATTAGGCATAAAAAATAAATTCTTTTTAAAAGCTTTTAATATTCGTGTTTAAATTCTTTTTGTTAGAAACATTTGTAAAGTTTTAGGTAATTAATTTGTGACACATATCTTTGTTAGTTTTCGAGAGTTATTTGAAAAGAACTTTTTTTAAACTTCAATATTTCCTTTTAATGTTGAGATAAAATGTGAAAAAAATGGAATTATAATGAATTTGGATTTTCTTAGAAATTTTAAATGAAATAGTCAGGAAAAAAAAGATTACATTTAGACTTCTATAAATTCATACAATTACAAAAAACTCCAGTCAAACAATAAAATAAATAGTTCTACTTTAATCTTTTCGTTGGGGAGAGTCGGGTAGACCCACCCACTTAAGGAGTATTGCTTATATTTCTGTATAATATTGAGTAATAATCAATATTTTTGCATGTTTCTATTGTTTTATCATCTAATTAAATAATGCAAAACGAATAAACCAGAAAAAGAATAGTTCAACTCAAAAAAATAGATATATATAAAAACATGTTTTCCAGCTCTTTTCAAAATGTGTCGGGTAGCCCCGCCCAGTTACAATTTTTTTTTTTGAAATGTTTTTACAGGTGTAAATGAAAATGACCAATGTATTGACAATAGATAAACCTCATTTATCATTTTTATCACAAAATTCAACCGATTTTTCTCAATTTCTTGATTACTGTATTTAACATATTTTCAAAACTATTGTTTACCATGTTACCAGTTGCATAAATACTTGAAACTTTGAAAATAATCTTTTTTTAACATAACAATTAATGTCCGATGGCCCATTGACTTGAAAAAATATTCTATACACTTGAAATTGACAGTGGGCGGGGGAGTCCGAGACTCCCCTAAGTTTTCTTTTAGGCTTTTATTTTCCTTCTTTATTTATTTCTGCATGTATTTTTTTCTTTCATGGCTTTTATTCGAAATAATACCACTTATGATATGCACTTTTGGAAACTTTGATATTAATTGCGTATATATCGGATTTCAATTATCCACCTAAATGTACTAACATTTGTTTTAAACTAATGTTTTTAAGAATTTTTATCTTCACTTCTTAAGGCAGACTTTACAGTATAAAACAACAACTATGTTTCTCGGAAAGAACGGGCTTCCCTTCTTCAGGTTGTTAAAAATGGCAATTCGTGAAAAATGGCTGATAGAAGAAAAATTAGGAGTAAAATTTTAATGGGGAAGAATCAAACCTTCTCCCCACTCATTCTTGTTTTCAACTACACTCCCAGAAACAAAACTCTCACTTTTGACGATTCAGCAATCCTTGAGCATTATTTCGTTCATTTAGATTATCAATTTGTCACGAAATCTCAAACCTCATCGCAGTGCATTGTGGGAGATTATTAAATAGAATGACGAAACATTTAGGCTGTATAATTAAAAATAAACTGACAATTTAAGCCGGTCGGAATGCATGGCGTTCAAGAAGTAGACCTTGTACCATAAGGATCCGGGTTCGAAACCCGGTTCGGCCTTGATTGAAATTTATCTCTTTGTCCTTATTGTGTTGTGAAACCTATATGGTATCCATGTTAAAAAGGTAAGTCGAAAAGTTTAATGCATTAGGCACTAAGTTCTTTTTTTTGGGGGGGGGGGAATAGAATTAGGAAATATTTCTTTAATTTTGTCGAAATTCGTTTTTTCAAAGAAGGGATACGAAATTTTTGTTCGGAGCATATATCAGGAAACTGACTATATTGGAGTAGCCATTTTTACACCGTACGTGATGAATGTATAAAATAAAATAAAGGAATTTAAGAAATCCGAAGCTGTTGTAGATTTACTTTTTTTTAATCAAAATTTACTTTTTACATATTTTATTTAAATTTTATTCTTCAAGTTTCCTACTAATTTATGTCTAATTAAATTTTTTTTCTAGTAATTTGGAAAATGAAGTCTCGTTGGGTAATATTTTTTTTCTTTTTACTGTTGCAAAACTTCAACTTGGACACTTTCGTTGCCAGCTATAAACAGCATCATGACTCAAACATAGCTCACATACTGGCAGCAGGTCTTATAATTCAAATGCTCAGTCACCAACAACACCACAAGCATCATCATCACGGCCATCATCACGGTCATCATCATGGACATGAATCCAGGCACAATGCAGAGATACCTCATCATTCTCCACCGCATCATCACCAAGAATCCAGAATGCCTCAACCTCAATACCCTATGCCAGCCTACCCAGTACAACCTCTACCATGGAATGCCTATGGTTATGCTCAACAAGCACAAGACGCTTACGGTTATGCTCAATATGCCCCCGCGCAGAACCCTTATAATTATGCTCAACAATCACAAGTACCTGATCCTGGTATACAGCACGCACAAACTGCTCACCATCAGCATCAATTGCCTATTTTGCCACAATCATCTCCATATGTTAATTCGCATGGAGAGCTGAAACAGCACGTAATACAGTGAGCAATGCCATTGAATTGTAGTGTAAACTATTAATTGGTGTATAGTAACTGTTTAACCTTTTAAATGGTTAAGATATATTAAAATATGTCGTTTTTTCATTTGTAATATATGAAATCATTTTCTCTATAAGAAAATATCATTTGAAGTTGCCAACTGCGAATCAAAGCTATATGAAAACATGGAATCTTACAATATGAACAAATCTCATGTAATATAATGTTGATGTAAATAATTTTTGGAATAAAATTAAATTCATCGAATAAATGCTTAAGGGGTTTAATACTCAACTGTAATAATTTATAGGTATTTAGGATAAAACTTTACAATTGAATGAAGTAATGAATTTAAAAATTTGATATATAGTTACAACAATCGTTTCGATAAAAATCACTTAAAAATCAAAAGAGCTTATTTGTTTAGTTTTGGACTATTAAACTTCATATTTTATATTTTCTTTTATTTAAAGAACTAAATTTTTTTTTTAATGAAACAAAAATTCTACTTTCAGTTACGTTAACTAATAATAATAATCAATTTGCAGCATTTATATATTTTTCTGTGCTTTGGCACTTAATATCTCTAGTTATTCAGATATTTTAGGAATCCACCATTTTTATGAAAAAAATAATCCTACCTTTAACTAATACTGACCTGTAATATTGTCCTTTTTTTCTTTTTAAATCTTCTAAGAACTAAATATTTCCCTTTCCTAATTGTATCAAAAAAGTCTTCTTAACTTTTAAAGAAATAAATGTATTTTTTTTATAATGACAAATAATTTTATGCTTTTTTTAAACTTATATTGTCTTACTTAAATTATTTTTTTCATCTATATAAATCAAATATTTCATTTTTTCTACAAAAAAAAATTCAAAAAATTACTTCGTTTGCAATAACAAATCATATTATGCTTTTGTTTCAAATTGTATCAACTTTAAATTTTAATATTAACTATTTTAGTTATTTTACAAAACTTTGGAAGTTTTTTAAACAATAAATTCTATTTTTTTTCATTCATGATGATTTTAAAACTTACATTATCTATCCTTTAAAGTCTTTTCATATCATGGTACTAAACCTTTTAATATTTTTATATAACTTCAAAACTTACCAAATTAATATTTTTTTCTCACTTTTATTACCAAATGTACTCCTTTTTTAAGCCAGATATCATCTAACAGTTAATCATTTTTACATTACTGTACTAAATTTTTCGGTTATTTAAAAATTTACAAACTCTTAAAAGCAATATATCCTTTCTTTTTTTTTCTTTCTTTTTTTTTGTTATAATAAAAAAAATAGCGTCCTTTGAAATATATCACTCTACTAAATCCGTCAATTATTTTAAGAAGTTCAGAAGTTTTGAAAGGAAGTTGTGTGTCTTTGTTTTACCTTCTTTTGTTGAACGTTTTAACAAGATATTTTTAAAATAAGTTTTAATTTTAATTTGGAATGTAATTGGAAATCCTTTCATATTTTAGCAATTATTTTTCCAGATTAGAAATACGCCATTTGGATCAAGTTCACAAACGCCAATCAGACTGCTCAAATAAATTCGTTCATAATATCGATGCTCAATCATATCATAATAAATTCTGTATAAATTCCACAAATAAGTTCATAGGTTTCATTGAAAAAGCAAATTTTATAATTTTGTTCATTTTTTGTGTAGAATATATCTTTGATTCAAAACTGAATAATTAGTGTTGCACATTGTACTCGTTGTAGTCAAAGAAAGTATGATGATCTTCGAGCTAGAGTAAAATAAAGTAGAAAACAACGTATAATGCACAAATAAAAAAAAATAAACAAACGTTGTCTTATACTTTATTTTACTGCTAATATATTCATTCATTTTAAGATAAACATTCCAGAACTCAGGGATTGAATTTATTCAATTCAAAATTCGCATTTCTTTTATATGTACATTATTAAATATTCAATTGTATATTATTAATATTCAAAAAATTTTATTTGAATCATTCAAAATTAGGAAATTTACGTTAAATTTTCTGTTATACTTATCTGTCATTGTACACTTTTATGTATATAACTTAATTATGTATAACATTGGATCTGCTGAAAAATATTCATTAAACTGATTACTTTTATTTTATCAAATTACATAGTTCATTTTTGGAAAATTCAAATATTGAAGAGACCATTTATTATGTTTAATTTTATCGACAGAATTATTTCAAAATTATAACAATAACTGTAATAATTATTCAACAATGTGTTTTGTGTCTTATTGTCTATTACTAAACCTCATACATCTTATTATTTTGATTGTGTAATAAATATATTTGTTAAATAAAGACTTTTGTAAGAAAAAACTTTTTGAAATAAGAGTGTTATTTTCGAAAACAAGCACTTTGAAAACTTCTAAAACATTTGAAGTTAATATTGTGTCATTTGAAACTAATATGTTTAGATATTTTTGAATGTATTGGTAAAATATTTAATAGCTCATTCTTTTTGCCCGAGTTCATAGGTTCATTGAATAACTGTTAAATTTTAGAAACAATAACATCTACAGTATTGTTCCAAAACTACTTGCACTGCCGTTAACGAAACTTCAAACATACTCAATTTTTTTCGTTTCCTTTCATTTTGAATTTTTTTTTCATTTTAGGAATCATAAATAAGAGAGAAATCTTTCGGGAGCTCTTTATAACACTGCTAGAAATTTCAGACATTTGACCATAATATAGTTGTATACAATCATACAACTGTATAACTTGCTTACACGATTTTACTATTCAGCCGAAACGAAAAATCGGTTTCATTTCACACTTTTATAAAATTCTATCAAATTTGTATAGTTTGCATGGTTAAAAGTTATAAAGTTAGAGTTCAACATTTTAAATTATCTTAGAACTGGCGTTGAACTGTCGTTCTACTTCAGGGTTTGCGACTATCAGTGCTCAACTGCGTAGCCCTGCGATTTTGAATCCTTCCCAGAAGACATCAAGCATTGGAACAAACTAGCCTTCAAATCAAAACAAACTATCCTTCGGACAGAAATTTTTATGCAAACTGACAGCATTTGCGTTACATAGAAAGCTAAACCAAGAAACCCTCTCCACGGTTAGCCCGACGGTAAGAGGATTCTAACGCATGATCCATCTGTAATTCTAACCTGCTTCACCTCTTTGGGAGACAAATGCTCCAGCAATTGAGCCACCGCTGCACAGGGTACAGCAACATATATATATATATATATATATATATATATATAGATATA